TATATGTATATATGTATATATGTATGTATATGTATATATGTATGTATATGTATATGTATATATGTATGTATATGTATATGTATATATGTATGTATATGTATATATGTATATATATGTATATGTATATATATACACATTCTTTCACTGATTCTTACAGTTGGAGGAGAAGATGCTTGGAGATCCCTGTCTGAAGAACCTGAAGAAAGGTGACATCATCCAGCTCCAGAGACGAGGCTTCTACATCTGTGACCAGCCCTATGAGCCAGTCAGGTCAGGGAAAGGACCTCTGTTTTCTTTATGTAAATAAAAACAAAGAAGAATATTGGTTCATTCGCAGTGGAGATAATCAGATACCTGGGTCTGACAGTACTATCCCTGTTTTCTGCTGTGTTCTGTAGCCCTAACAGCTGTAAGGAGAGTCCCTGTGTTCTGTTCTATATTCCTGATGGTCACACCAAGGAGATGCCAACTTATGGAACGAAGGATAAGAGCAAGATCCAGGTCTCCAGTGACACAGTGAGTGCTTTTGAATGAAACCCCCTTGAGATGTTTTTAATTTTACACCAATGGTCTGCATCTTTTAATTTGATTTCTAAGACCCGTCAGACCTGATCAGCATGAAAACATTTAACTCAAGCTATAATCCAGAGCTCTGCCCTTTACCTCCAAATAAATAAATTGTTTAAACACTAGTCTGAGCTTTTGTTTCATGGCATTCACTAGTTATGAATGTGAAATTACTGATCCACTCTTAGCTGGAGGAGCTTCCCTCCTATCAGTGTGTTCAGGCTTGGAATGGAAAAGATTTGGGCTCACACTGCAACAAAAATCACAGCACAACTTTGCAATAGAAGTTAACTGGGGACATCTGCAGATCACTAATCTGTCTAACCGGTAATGCTTGGCTTGGTAAGGTTGACCAAATGATAGATAGGCTTTGAGTTCAGATTTAATGACACCAGTAGCCCCAGAGTCTTTAGTCACAAAAGGCTAAAGGAACCTGCAGTTATGTACTTGATGTCTGGGCTAAACTGGTACCTGTCCCCCTTTTTTTTTTTTTTTTTTGCGCTTTTCTTACCCATCTGCCTTTCTCCCCTTAGGCTGCAGCCCCTACCGAAGCTGCCTCAACTTCTGCTCCAGCCTCAGCTATTGGCCTGTTCTCTAGCATTGTAGCTCAGGGTGAAGCTGTCCGCCAGCTAAAGACTGCCAAGGCCCCAAAAGATGAAGTTGATAAAGCAGTTCAGCAGCTGCTTTCTCTAAAGGTACATTGGCCATATCGAGAAGTATTTAAACTAAGTAAAGACAGCTAATTTAATCATTCATTTGAGTTGCACTCTCCTTTTTTCACTCTCTGCAGTCACAGTTTAAGGAACAGACAGGCATGGACTACAAGCCCGGCATGGCCCCTCCCACATCTGCTCCAGCCCCACCCACATCTTCAACAGACTCCGTCTCTTGCCCGTTCACCCGCGTTGTCCAGCAGGGCGAGCTGGTGAGGAAACTGAAGGCAGAGCAGGCACCTAAGGTACCTGGATATTAATCATGCCCACAGCCTGTGTGTAATCACTGTTTCTGTTCGCATGTCCATGTCCATTCATTGAGTTGTGGCAGTCATTTGTCCATTCGATGATATTGTACTCGGTGACTGGTCCCATCATTTTTCATGTCCTCATGCGTTTGTCGAGTCTGTTCTCACGTCTGAAGGCATATCTTGTCACTCCGTGCTCATGTCTCAAGTGATCTGTCCAGACACTGCTCATGTCCCCATTCCATTTGCATGCGGTCACGAGTTCCCTTTACCATCTGCAACTTTAAGCTGATGTGTTGATGGCACCAGGACCAGATTGAAGTAGCAGTGAAGCAGCTCCTCACGCTCAAGGTGGAGTTTAAAATGCTGACTGGTCTGGAGTACAAACCAGGGATGGCCCCACCCAGCACCTCCTCTTCTGCTCATTCTTCTGCCACAGTCTCCTCCTCTTCTTCCGGCCTGTATGAGCACGTTGTACAGCAGGGGGAGGTCGTGAGGAAACTGAAGTCTGAAAAAGCCCCCAAGGTATCCAGATGCAGGATAGCAGACAGTAGAAAACTGCTGACTGCTACTGCCAGATATTCCCCTGCTTCCATTCTCAAAACTGCTTTTGGCTTTATGATTCCACTAGCCAGTGTGAGTGCTGCACTTTTCAGAAAGTCACGAATGCATTTTGGTCAGCATTTGATTTGTACAAGAATGTACTTCAACCTTGAAAGAAACCTGAAGTCGGTGGTTTTCTGGGCTTGTGTTATTAGAGATCATTAGTATAGAACATATGTTCTGGGGAATGTCACTATCACACTGGTCAATGTTAGAATAGGTGTAGAGTAGGTAAAAAATACCGTAATTTCCGGACTATAAGCCACTACTTTTTTCGCTTCATGCACACACCCTCATCATGGAAAACACGATGAAATGCATATGATGCAGCTTTCAAGTTAAAGGCGATTGATCTGGCTGTCGAAATATCTCATGTTACAACGTGGACACCTGTGGCTATGTGCAAACTTTTTTTGTTTTAAATTTAGTGGGTGCGGCTTATATTCAGGTGTGCTCAATAGTCTGGAAATTACGGTAAGTCCAAGTGAAATTTAGCTTTTATGTCTGAGCCAGACAGCAGCCCACAACACCAAGCAAGAGCCATAGACTTTAAACAACCGACATTAGCTTTCCTGCTAAAGTCTCCTTCTTATCTAACTTACTGACATGAACACATCTTGTCCTGCTCCCTAGCTTGTTGAACAAGCCACCAAACAAATATTTACTGGAGAAAAGTGCACTGCCAATATCAGGCTATATCTAATTAGTGCTTCATCTGCAGCACATTAAACAACATTTAAAAGTGAATGCCACTGGTTAAATGCTGGTCTGCTCTTTGCTCTTCAGCACTGCTAACAACATGCTGTCTGCCCATGATACATAGCTACAGCGTATGTTTCTTTACTCTGTTTTCAGTTCCCTACAGTGTAACACCAGCACTTTGGCAGCCTCCCAGCTGTTGTCAAGCATAGACACCTACATGCCCCTCGTTTTGCTTGAAACAAGAGCTGTAAAGAGGCCAGTGGTAATGAAAAGACTGGCCAATAGTAGTGAAAATTAAATAAGGCGCTTAAGCGTTATACACTTATAAAAGTGCATTTCTTTATCAAGATTTTTAAAAGTACATTTCACTTCAATATTACTGTATTTTACCCTGTTCTAATGCTAACTGTGTACATGTACTGTGGATTATAAAAACTGCTATGAACTCAGTTACAGTAGCTGTCTTGTTTCTACAGGACCAGGTTGATGCAGCAGTGAAACAACTGCTTGCCCTGAAGGAAGAGTTCAAACAAGTCACCGGCCAGGAGTACAAGCCTGGAGCAGCCCCAGTCCAGAAAGCCCCCACCCCGGTCCAGACCAGCTCCAATGCTGCCCCTGCTGCCACCAGGCTCTATGTGAAGGTTGCTGAGCAGGGAGAAGTGGTCAGGAAACTGAAGGCTGAAAATGCCCCCAAGGTGAGACCATAGTGTTTCCCATACTTTCACACTTTATATAGTGTTGAATAGTCCTGCTACTCTCTGCTTTTTTGATCAAATGGCTTTCATGTTCAACAGGATCAGGTAGATGCTGCAGTGAAGCAGCTGTTGGCTCTAAAGGCAGAGTACAAACAGCAAACCGGACAGGATTACAAACCCGGAGCACAAGCCCTAGCTAGCCCTGCCCAGACCCAGTCTAGCCCTTCCCCAAAAACGTCCAGCTCTTCCCCACAGGCACAGGAGCTGTTCTCACAGGTGGCCCAGCAGGGGGAGTTGGTGAGAAAGTTAAAGTCCGAGAAGGCCCCCAAGGTACGTATCCAAACACAAGGTGGAATCAAATGCAGCTAGTGCTGGAGAGAAAAAGCAACAGCTGTCCTTCTATTTCAGGACCAGCTGGATGAAGCTGTGAAGACTCTGCTAGACCTGAAGAACAAGTACAATACACTTACAGGAGAGGACTACAAACCAGTGACCACTACTGGAGCCACTGGAGCAGAGGACAAAAACCGAAAGGAGCGGGAGAACAAATCTGAGAAACAGGGAGGAGGAGGAGCAGGAGGAGCAGGAGGAGGGAAGAAGGGTAAAGGAGACAAGGTTGGTCGGAGCAAGGAGTCCTCAGGAGGAGCAGGAGGCTCAGGAGAGGGTCAAGGACCCAAAAAACAAACACGGTGAGAGCTTGGAAACAAATGAACAGTGAGGAGAAGAAGTAGGTTCAGACACTAGCTTTTCATCTGGCTGTAGTTTGAAAGTTTTTCATATTGGCACGTTTTTTCAGTCAGACTTGATGATCTTGGGTAAAATGGTAATCCTTATTACTAGAAATACTATGATCATTATTATAAAAATATTGATGAACAAAATATTTTACTTTCTGCATCTGAAGTCAACTTTTCTCCTTGGAACTCTGTATTTCAGTCTCTCTCTGTAAGTGCAGATTGAACCTTTTCACATTGAATTCTAAGCCTGCCCACTTTCATTGTGGTCACCCTTAATGCAGTTGTAATGCTTCTGTCCCATCCTGCATATTGCACAAGACAGTATGTTGGGAAAAAGCCATGGATTTCTGCAGTTACATGAACAGCTATATGACGAGATGATATGGCAGTAAGTTAGTTATACTGAAAATTATTTGGCTGAAATTGACTGGTGGAGTTGGATTGTCTGAGCCAATAAAAAGTCTTTGTACTGAACTGCCTTCCCAGAATTTTGTCTTCTTAAGCACAATATAATTATTTGAATAAGATGTATTGTTTTGTATGGAAGTGTTGAATTGTTAGCACATAGACTTTACATACAATAACTGCAATTTGATGGATAGTTTTGTTGAAACCTTACAATGTCTTGAGTTGTATATTTCAGCCTTTAAACAAGTATTTGGGATTATGGGGTCAGAGGCACAACTTGGATTTGTTACACGGACACTGAGGATAGATCATCTGTAAGCACAGCCTTCTGCTGCTGTAGCTTAATGACTGACCAGGGTTTTTGTGTTCAGATTTGGTGAGTTTAAATGGTTGGTGTGGTTTTCATCTGCTTGCTGTCGGCCTCAAGGAGAAACTTTGATTAATTTATAGCAGTGCTGCACTACTAATCATGTATAATCATGTTTTCAGCCATACTAGTAGCATGGCTCTAATGATGTCAGTCACTTTGCTCCAGACTGGGATATCTCAACAGCTAATGGAAGAACTGCGATAATACTTTGTACAGACATTCACTGCTCCCAGAGGCTGAATCATATTGGCGATGACCCCAAACGTTTTATCTGTTGACACTATGAGGATGACATTTTTGCATTGTAATTAAATGTCTTGACTGTTATTGATTGTGATGTAATTTGGTGATACAAAACAATGCACCAGCAGGCTAGAACATTGCTTTGGACCAGCAAACCATTGACATTCCCATCATCTAATTAGCAAGTGCATGCTAACACACTAAACTAAGATGGTGAACATGCTGTACCTGCTTAGCTTTTGGCAGTATAAGTGAACATGTTAGTATAGTGCGGCCTCATAAAGGTGCCACCATGGCTGAAGATTCTAGTCTGATTGTGGCACATTAGTCCCTGTTGAAATTTAAATTTTGAAAATCTGCTGCAGGTGGATTTTTTTTGTGCAAAGATTTTTGTGTAAGATGCAAAAAGTACAGAAAGTTAATTTTGTTCCTCAGATAATCATGATCATAATATTGTGCCAATACTGGGATTATGATTTTGCCTGTGTGGTGCAGCTCTATCACTCTTATCAGTTAGCAGCAGAAATCTGGTTTGCTGGCTGTGCATGGTAGTGCATGGCCATATGTAAGCAGTGCTTCATCAGTTTTTGATTTGACAAGACCGAGTGAGAACAGTTTAACATGCATTTACTCTTCTGTTTTGCAGTGCTTTGGAAATGACTGCTTTATCTCAAGGTTTACATCACACTAACTCAGTCTGTCTTCTCTCAGTTTGGGCCTGGAGGCAAAGAAAGAGGAGAACCTGGCTGACTGGTACTCTCAAGTAAGTTAAATAAACCTAGATACCACTTTTCTGCTTCTGAAAAATTGTGCTAAACATAGAACACTTTAAAAAGTCCAGGCTTTGGTGCCTTAACCTTTATTTTCCAGTTTCCCTTTTATTGTAATATTATTGTGCCTCCCTTCCAGGTCATCACTAAATCAGAGATGATCGAGTACTATGATGTTAGTGGATGCTATGTGCTGCGGCCCTGGGCCTACTCCATCTGGGAGGCCATTAAAGACTTCTTTGACCGGGAAATTAAGAAACTTGGTGTGGAGAACTGTTACTTCCCCATGTTCGTCTCTCAGGCCGCCCTGGAGAAGGAGAAGTCTCACATTGCAGACTTTGCTCCAGAGGTAAATGGGACAAAAATAACAAGGGATAACAACTTAATTGCAGCACTAAGGAAAGTTATAATAGCCACTTTTTACTGATACTAAAAATATTGTACTCAGCACAACAATATGAGAATGTCAGTAATCTTAATGGTGACATAATTTGTCAGGTTGCCTGGGTAACGCGGTCAGGAAAGACTGAGCTGGCCGAGCCCGTTGCTGTGAGACCCACCAGTGAGACAGGTCTGAGCCACAGCTCCTCAGTTGATTTAGATTTTAAGAATAAACTGTATTTAACTATGTCAAAACAAATGTGATCTAAACATATACAATATCTTAACTGACTCTATAACATTTCAGTTGTATTTAATGAAGCTGTTGGTGGGGTTTTGGTTATGAACCTTGGGTCTGTTTTTGTTTATCTCAGTGATGTACCCGGCTTATGCCAAGTGGGTCCAGTCCCACAGAGACCTGCCAATCAAACTCAACCAGTGGTGTAATGTTGTGGTCAGTGTCCCATTATAATCACATCTGCATCATCTAAAACAACATCTCTTATTTATCTTATCCATACATCTTACTTTTGTATTTTAATAATTACAGGCATTTACAGTTGCTGATGAAAACTGTTTTATAGAAGACTGATGCCTGTTAAACACTGAAGTCTCTTTTTCTCTCTATCTGTTCGTTATCCCTATAGAGGTGGGAGTTCAAACACCCCCAGCCCTTCCTGAGGACAAGAGAGTTCCTGTGGCAGGAGGGACATACAGCTTTTGCCACCAAAGAGGAGGCAGCTGAGGAGGTAACACGCCTGTAAACTCTGATCTTGATGTATCAGTGCTGAGATGCAATGATAGGAATGTGGTGGTGCATTACACTCACTACTTTCATGGTACAAAAGGTAGTTTTTTGTTTTACTATACCAAACTTTAAGTCTTTGTATGCTTTGCTTATGTGTGCACATTATGCATTTGTAGGTGCTGCAGATCCTGGATCTGTACGCCAGGGTGTACGAAGAGCTGATGGCGATACCTGTAGTGAAGGGGAGGAAAACCGAGAAGGAGAAGTTTGCAGGAGGCGATTACACCACTACTGTGGAGGCATTCATCTCCGCCAGCGGCCGAGCTATTCAGGTACTGCTGTATACAGGATATGTTCAATCAGTCCTCTTTTATGCTGAGGCCAGCAGAATAAATATGAACTTTAACTTGTAGCAGCATTTGCTTTGAGTTGTTTTACAACAAAGTATAAATTGTACTGTTAAAAAAATAACAAAAAAACTTCAGTGTATCTTTGCCATTGCTTTGTGCTTTTTCAGGGTGCTACGTCCCACCATCTTGGCCAGAACTTCTCCAGGATGTTTGAGATCATGTTTGAGGATCCGAAGAGGCCGGGAGAGAAGCAGCTGGCTTTCCAGAACTCCTGGGGTATCACGACCAGAACCATCGGTGTGCTCACCATGGTCCATGGAGACAACATGGGACTCGTGCTGCCACCCAAGGTTGCCTGTCTGCAGGTAGACCCTCACTCACACGCATTCTTAGAGGCACAGAAATATAAACAGCTAAACATACAAATATCCACCATAACACAAAATGCTGCACTTTTCACAAATACAGAATTATTTTCCTTTTTTGTTTGTTTTTTAAACTTGATAAATGTGTAATGACATAACCTGTTTTTATTGCAGTTTAACAAAAACTTTTTATACATATTGTGTTCTCTTTTCCAGGTTGTCATCATCCCATGTGGAATCACTGTCTCCCTGCCAGAGAAGGAGAAGGAGATGCTGTTGGCCAAGTGCTCTAAATACATGAGCAGGCTGCAGGATGCTGGCATCAGGGTGAAGAGTGACCTCCGAGACAACTACTCCCCAGGGTGGAAGTTCAACCACTGGGAACTTAAGGTCATTGATAATATGAGATTAAAAGAAGTAGAATTAATAGTTTCACTTAATGTATGTGATATTAACTAAACATAATTTACAAAGAAATTCACCTGAACATATGCAGTATGTAAAATCAAGAATAGTAAATGGTAAAGGGGAGAAAACCCAGTGATCACATTGGTTAGATAGTAAACAGCTTTGTAACTGAATCTCTCATTTTTTGTGCATCTGTGTCTCTCATCCAGGGAGTTCCTATTCGTCTGGAAGTAGGCCCTAAAGATATGCAGCAGTGTCAGTGTATCGCGGTGAGGAGAGACTCTGGTGCAAAGGTGACAATACCAGAGGCCGAGGTGGAGAAGGAGCTGGCTGCTATATTGGAGGACATCCAGACCAGCCTGTTCAAGAAGTAAGATACACACCACGCTGTGCCTGGCTGACACTGGACTTTTGTTACAAATTGATCTACCAGTCGAGGACAACTGACTAGACAAAAGAATTTTACTTATGATGCCCATATGGAAGAACTGAAAGCTGTCTCACCTGCTCTAAATCTCACTAAAAGAATTTTAATGCAGGAAACTTCTTGTAATTCTAATAAAATACACTTTCACATAATGTATTACATGTATGGTTAAAAAGGAGCAAAGAGTGCTCAGCTTCTACTGTCATTGCTGTATTACAGCCACACTACTGATCACCACCAGCTGTCATAAAGGCACAAAAAAACATAGAACATGTAGTGTTAAACTTAAAACAGCCCAACCAGCTGGGGCCAGTACCACCATAGAAATGATGTACACAGGCCGTGACCAACTATGAAAGCAATATGGTAAATGGTCTTATACTTGTATAGTGCCTTTCTATGCTTTACAGCACACTCAAAGCACCTTCACACTACTCGGCTACACTCACACATTCACACACCGGTGACATCACTGCGAGCAACTGGGGGTTCAGTATCTTACTCAAGGACACTTCAACATGTTGACTGGACAAGCCAGGAATCAAACTGTTAATCCTCCGGTTAGGAAACGACCTGCTCTACCTCCTGAGCCACAGCTGCCCCCAATACACTGATAAACAGAATTATTCCACAAGGAAACAGATGATTATATAGTGTCCATACAGATAAAAGATGATGGACTGAAAAGTTTTGTGTGTGTTTGCCAGAGCTTCAGATGACCTGAAGAGTCACATGGTGACTGCAGACACAATGGAACAGTTCCAGAAAGAGTTGGACCAGGGCAAGGCAAGTGTAACAAGACACACTCAGTGCAACGCATTTGTCTGTCCTCAGCTGAGTAAATAATTGATCATGTATTTCTTGTACACGATAGATTGTGCAGATCCCATTCTGTGGAGGAGCTGAGTGTGAGGACTGGATTAAGAAAACCACTGCCAAGTAAGTCTGAAATGCCATTGCCTGACAAGTCAGTGCCTTAAACTATGATTTTGGTGAGCAAAAAGTACACGCATCCACCCATGTAATTTGTATAGATGATAAGAAAATACACAGAAGAATGTCCATCATATATACACTATATCAGCATGTAAAAAGTATTAAGTCATATGCAGTCCCTGAAGGGGACAAAACAGCCTCCTGTGTATTTTCTTGTGCTGCAGATTCACTTTAAAATGCTTTCATTCAGTCATTTGTAGAGTACTCTCATAACTTGTTCCATTCATATCAGGCATTGGCAAAATACTATGTGATATTAATTATTCCTGTGTCATTTCACTGGATTTTGCTCTTAAGTACTTTAATTTCAACCATTTAAGATTTCTGTGGTCTTGTTCTTATCAGGGACCAGGACCTGGAGCCTGGAGCTCCATCCATGGGAGCTAAGAGTCTCTGTATCCCCTTTTCTCCCCTGAGGACGCTGCAGCCTGGTCAGATGTGTGTCAGTGGCAAGGAGCCAGCCCAGTACTACACCCTATTTGGACGCAGCTACTGAAGACCTACTCTGCTGGAGCATGAGGATGAACAGTGTAGTCAAAAAGTGCTTTAATACCTTCTCTCTAATTCCATTTCTTTGATCTATTGTGGGTGTCTAGGTTAATCTACTGGACTGGGATTTAGAATGGGGATTTTTTTTTTAAACATTTATTAACATTGCTGTAACACATCTGAAAGGAAGAGCAGCTGAAAGAAACTTCCACTGTGAAAGAAAGTGGTAGTAGTGCTGTTTCCCTCCTACATGGCTAATTACTCCATAAAGGCAATCTGAGAAGACCACTCTCTGTCCAGTTGTGTGTTTGTTCAGTGATGAATATTACTAACAGAAACTAGGCCAGTAATAAATCTTTTGTGTCAGGCAGGTTTGTCAGCGTGTAATGTGACATCTTTTGGAGTCTTGAGAAATAATATGTATGCCTACTTATGTCTGGGGAAAACAACTCCAGCATTCCCATATCTTGCAGTCAGTCTCAGGAACTTGTCAGATACTCAGCTGTTGTTATTCTTGCAGTCTTATCAGCCCTCCTCACTGTGTGACTGGTTACAGTATGTAGTTCATGGTTTAACATCCATCCATTATCTTTACCGCTTATTCCTGAATAGGGTTGCACGACGGCTGGTAGAAAAATGCGTGGCATTACCAGCAAAACCAGTTTGTGAGCAGTTTAAAGCATGTAAGGCAAAATCAGTTAGACATAATGAACCACCCAATCCCAGCTGACACTGGATGAGAGGCAGGGTACACCCTGCACAGGTTGCCAGTCTATCACAGGGCTGACCTTTAGACAAACAACCACACACACACACAAACTCATAGGGGGCAATTTAGAGTCGCCAATCATCTTAAGGTGCATGTCTTTGGACTGTGGGAGGAAGTCGGAGTACCTGGAGGGAACCCACGCGGGGAGGAACTCTGCAAACTCTGCACAGAAAGGCTCGAACCCAGAACCTTCTTGCTATGATGCGAGAGCACTAACCATCGCGCCGCCATGGTTTTATAGCCTCACACATATCCCACTGATCCAGACTTGTGACCGTGATGAAGTATGTAACTGGTTAATAGCCAGTAATGTTGCCTTCTTTTACTTTGCTCTGATTAAAAAAAAATCTCTGCAGTTTGTTTATAATAAACTAATGTGACACATCTGAGAAGCCCTGGTGCCTTATCTAGTGTGTATATATATCTGTGCTCTGTATCACACCTTAAAGTCTGCTACAGTGACAATTCAGCTCCCTAATGTGAGCATTTTGTCTTTACCTGCTGTCAATAATGAATAAGTAAAAAATATGATTACACTACTAGTATTTTTATATTGTGTAAATTATATTTAAACCTAAAAGTCTATTTGTTATTTGGCCCATTAGAGGCAGCACGAGCTGTAAATACAATAGACGTAATACCTATTTTGGTCAAAGGTCAGTGTTAATTTGTCATATGCACAGTTAGGAAACATGTTTCCCTGTACAATGAAATTCTTACTTTGCCATCCACATGAATGCCACATAATACAAATGAAATATAAAGTAGATAAGTAACACTGAATCTAAGGCACTTTAAGCAGCAATATAAAAATATATAAGAATATAACAGAAAATGTATGCTGCATGGGAGCAACATGTGCAGCAGTCAACAGTCATTGTGCAATTATGCATGTGCAAACAATGTAAACAGTACATGACGTATTTCCTGGTAATAAACTCCTCAGCTGTTTAGGAGTCTGATGACAGAGGGAAAGAAAGAGTTTCTCAGTCTAGAGGTCCTGCATTTCACACTTCTGAACCTCCAGCCAGAGGGTAGGTAGGCAAACAGTCCATGCTGGGGGTGGGTGGGATCTTTTAGGATGGAGGCAGCTTTCCTACGCACCCTGCAGTGGTAAATGCTCTGCAGAGAGGGCAGTGGAGTCCTGGTGATCTTCTCC